GTGTGTGTGAGTGTGTGTGTGAGTGTGTGTGTGTGTGTGTGTGTGTGGTTGCCTGGATCCGTTAATAGACTTGTCCTGTCCTCATGTTCACACTAACACACCAGCTTCGGACTGAAGTTGTTGATATTTTCTGTTTTCAGCTCCAAAACATTTGCACTTGTGTCTGATTTACTCGTTACAGTTCTCATTGGTGGGAAGCCAGTGAGGGATCACGACTGTGTCTACCGAGCAACTAAAGGAGGCTGTAGCATCAGGAGTAGAAGTAGTAGTAGTAGAAGTAGTAGTAGTAACAGCAGGAGTAGAAGTAGTAGAAGTAGTAGAAATAAACAGTAGAAGTAGCAGTACAGACAGCGAGCTATGCTAACAACCTGTGTGTCTCTTTGTGGTTGTTTCTTGTCTCTTCGTGGTCATTTTGAGTACGTTTGTAGTCATTCTGCATCACTTTGTGGTCATTTTAAGTGTGTTTTTAGCCATTCTCTGCATCTCTGTAGTGGTGTTGAGTATCTTTGTAGCCATTAAGCCTCTTTCTGTGGTCGTTTTCAGATTTTGTGTTGATACAGATTCACCTCGAGATTGTTTCAAGTATCTTAGCGTCTCTGCCGCTGCGTTGCTAGCCTAGCTCAATCAAAAAACATTTCCAACAACTCTCACTCTGTCTGATTTACTTGTTGTATGTTGTTTATTAAACAGGTGTAGAAACAGAATGATCTAAGGAGATATTACGGTTGTACCACCAATTATGCCAAACTGAGACATTCTGGTTTCAGCAGCCGTTAGCATCGAAGCTAATTGTTGAAGTCCTGAACTCGTAGTGAGGTTGCCAGGTTTGAGATCAGAACGTGGTTATGTTCAATGAAACGGGTCAGAAAACATGTAGTCATGTTGTGCTGAGCTGCGTCTCTGAGGAGCAGCTGCCTTCCTGATGATAACGCTCACATTTCATTCTACACATGGTCACAGCGCTGCCGACACGCCGCCGCAGACAGGAAGTCACCTGCAGCAGGAGCAGTAGTCGTAGTGGCACGAGCAGTAAAAGTACTAGAACACGAGGAGCAGCAGCATTGGGAGTGATAGTACAAGCGCATCCTGATTTACCCCTTTATTTAGTGTTTAAACCTTTATCTAATTAACTTAATGTAAACGTGCAAGTTTTCCTAATTAATTCTAAGTTAATTTGACTAAAATGTCTGATTTTACTTTTCAGAGCATTTCTGTGCAAACATCAGTTGACCTAATTTAAAGTCTTGTTATTGGATGAATTGTTGATGAATGAGTAATACGTTTCTAAAGAAACATGATCAGTGTGTGAGCAGATTTCCCAGCATGCATTGCTACTTTGTAGTTTGAAGAGAACATATTATGCATATAATGGAAACTGCTGCTCGTATTTGTACGTCACTTTGGACAAATGTGAAGTTATGAACACAAGGCAAATTGATTTACATAATTTAAACACATTTTTACAACTCATGAAGGTTAAAAAAATCTGAGGACACTTGACTTTGTGCAGTTTTACCATTTAGATGCTAATCCGGCATGAATAATGATTAATATCACATCCCGAATAAAATGGAGAAAAAGAATATTATTGTGCGTACTACTTTCATTATATGAATACTTTCTATCATATGCATTGAATGTGTTACACACTGCACCTCGGTGAGTCTGCTGAACATCTGAGATCTTTAACGAATGAAATGAATCTTGTTTACCTCGTCTCTCCCGTCCTTCCCTCAGGAGGAGGCTCCGTCCCGGCGCTCGGTGGCTGAACTTGCAGGAAGATTCAAAGGCTCGTCTCGTCCACACGATGCTGCCGGCAATGAAACGGTGAGTTTAATGTCTGTGTATCAGCAAATACATGGAGACACCAGAGTGCAGACACGTCAGACAGAGTCCGGGGATGGATTATTGAACTGGCCAAATGTTCCAGCATCCCTGGAAACAAAAGCTCAAAAATAAATAGTAAAGACAACTACTCTAAAGAGATGCAAAACCACTACAAAAAGACACTCTGATCCTCAAAACGTCCACAAGGAGAGACAAAATGACTACAACGAGACTCAATACACTACAAAGAGTTTAAAACAGACTAAAAAGAAACATAATGACTTCAAAGAGACAAGAACACAACTACAAAGAGACACAAAACAACAACAAGGAGACACAAAACAACAAGGAGAGACAAAACGACTACAAGGAGACACAAAACAACAACAAGGAGACACAAAACAACAACAAGGAGAGACAAAACGACTACAACGAGACACAAAACAACAACAAGGAGACACAAAACAACAACAAGGAGAGACAAAACAAGGAGAGACAAAACGACTACAAAGAGACTCAATACACAACAAAGACTTTAAAAAAGACTAAAAAGAAACATAATGACTACAAAGAGACAAAAAACAACAAGGAGACAAAAAACAACAAGGAGAGACAAAACAACTACAAAGAGACAGAAAATGAGCACAAAGGGACTCAAAATGGACAAGAACTATTCAAACGATGCTAAATCCACCCCTGATGTCCTGCTGTGACATGTCAAATCTGCCTGTGAAAACTGAGGTGTCGGAGCGTCCTTGAATGCACCAACATGTAAAGTGAAGTAACAGTGGAATAAAACATTAAGAACACAGGAATGGTTCTTCTAAATCACACAGTGAATCCATTTGAAGTAAATCAGACGATGTATTTAGATGTATATATTGCGTTTTTGTTTTTTATGTTAGACGTTGTTGTTTACTTTGTAACATTGTGATAAAACGTCTCAGTCACGTGTCATCGTGCTGCAAAAGAAGAAGAGAAACAGGAAACGGGTCAGGAAGAGCGTTCTGTGTGTGTTTCAACACTTGTTTTCAGTATCAAACGTCTCTTTCTGGTGAAGAACAATCTGGTATTTTCTGTTCCATGTTTGATGATTCCCTGCAGCTCAGACACGAGACGTTAATTATCGAGAACATGTGAAATCTATTTCAGTAGAAGATACATGTTTCATTAGGATACATACAGTCTCTGTACAGGAGATTATTTCTGCAATCCTGGAATACAGTAAATGTCCTTCACATGCTCGTTACAGCTGTCCAGTGTTCACAATCCGAAGACATCTAACTGAAGATAGCTTGTTAATTACCCAGAAGAGTGTCTCTTTGTGGTAATGTGTCGCGTTGTAGTTGTGTTGCTTCACTTTGAGGTAAATTTTAGTCTTTTTGTAGTCATAAGTGGTCGCGTTACATCTCTTTGTAGTAGCATTGTGTCTCTTTGTAGTAGCATTATGTCTCTTTGTAGTAGCATTGTGTCTCTTTGTAGTAGCATTGTGTCTCTTTGTAGTAGCATTGTGTCTCTTTGTAGTAGCATTGTGTCTCTTTGTGGTCGCGTTGCGTCTCTTTGCGTCTCTTTGTTTTGTCTCTTTGTGGTCGTTTGATTTACTTATTCCAAGAAATGTTTTCAATAAATAATCCATTCATACCAACAGGCCGACCTCCGCCAGACTGTGTTCTCTGACATGTAGACTGTCTTTATAATAAGTATCTACTGTAAAGACTGCGTTCCAAAATAAATAAATGAAAATGTCGTCAAGTAAAACTGGACTGAAAGTAAAAAGGTTCATGTTGATAAAACTAACATGAACCTTTTATCTCAGCACTAAAACTGAATCAACACTAATTACTGGAGTAGATGCTAGAAGCCATTAGTCTGCTGTAAGTAATATTGAAACACTATCGTGGTTTAAGACAACTGCACTAATGATTGTTTGTTTAGCAGGAGAAGCCGGTCAGACGACGACCTCCTCGCTCCTTACAGCTCCCCAAAACCACCGGAGACGACCAGGAGGTGAGAGAGACACGGAACCTTTGATATCAACAAACAATCAGATTTAAATCTGTCCACGACTGTAGGTCCACTTTAGTGACCACCATGAGAGTTCGACAACAGAAATGTGTGTGTGTGTGTGTTAGCAGCCACCAGGTGTCACCTCACCTCTACCTGCCAAAGCCAAGAGGAACTCTGCTCTGATCGAGAAGCTCCAGGTGAGTTAATCTGGTTTCTGCTGCTCTCTGCTGGTGTGGACGGAGAGCTGCACTCTGACATCACTCTGACATCTCTCTCTCTCTCTGTGCGTGTGTGTGTGTGTGTGTGTGTGTGTGTGTTGTGTGTGTGTGTGTGTGTGAAGGCCAACCTCGCTCTGTCTCCCATGACCCTGCTGCCCTCTCCAAAGAGCCCCGGCTTCAAGCTGCTGCCTCCCGCCTTCATCCCGCCCTCCCCCAGCTCCGCCCCGGTTTTTGGGTTTTTTTCGTCCACGCCGCCGCCGCCCGCCAGCCCGCTCAACACCACCTCTCCATGGACTGAGGAGGAAGGCCCCGCCTCCTTTGAAGCCCCTCCCACAGTGGAGGAGGGATCCATCCTGTCGAACACTAGCATCAAGGTCTGTCAGAGAGTTAAAGGGATGTTCCACCTGAGTCCGTCAAAACCAGCGTTTCCATTGGGCCTCTTCATGTCTGTGTCCATTGTTTCATCATCTGTTATTTGGAGAACCAAACAGCAGATATTTAATCACATTAATTCATATTAGAGGTTGTTTATTTGGCGTTATTACCAGCAACAGGGCTTTAAGCTTTTGACTCTAATTACTGTTTGAGGAATTTAATCCATTTCTATCAAAGCTTCTAAAGCTAAAGGCGGTAACGTGACCGTTGTCCAGAGAATATAATGACCTCACCCGTCTGTCTCCGCTCCCATTGGTTCCCTCTGCAGGGCCGAGCTCGCCACTCCATCCGGCGACGCCCTCCGTCCCGCCGCCACAGGACATCCAGCAGTGGAGACGAGGTCGGCGTCGCCATCGAGGGAGAGGAAGCGACTGAAGCAGAGGACAAATCAACAACAACAACAACAACAACAACAACAACAGGAGGTGAAACAGACGAGGGGAAAGAGGACAAAACGGACAAATCTCACGAACAAGACGAGTCAGAGATAAACGACGAGACCAGAGGAGACGAGGAGAAGAAGAAGGAAAGATCAAAGGGAGAAGGATCTTCATCAGGAAGAAAGGAGGAAGAGGAGGAGAAGAACTCTGAAGAAAAACAGACAGAAGATTCAACTGAAGGAAAGACAAACACAAAGAGTACAGACGAGGAAAAGAAAGAGGTGATTCCTACAGAAATGTTACAATATAGTCTAAAATAAGATACAATATTATTAATCCAGAAGGAAATTATTGTGCCAGAGTTTGATCAAAGATGATCAAAGATAGAAACAATAGAATAAACTATAAACATATATGAACAATAGAAGGATTATTGAATGTAAAAGAAGTAACACTGGCACCAGTGGAAACACAATAACAACAAGAGAAAGGTAAATAAATAAAGTAAAACATTCTACTAAAATACAAGAAGTAAAATGTAACAAAGATTAAATACAAGAGTAAAATATAAAGTGTATTAGAAGTGATACTAGCACCAACAACTACAATACAAGAAGTCATATTGAGCATGATATTGAAAGTGATATTGATTATATTACACGTAGTATAATGGAAGTAGTATTGCACATGATGTGGTTATTATTGTTGTCAAATGTATTGGACTGGACTGCAGAGAGAACCTGATTTATTTCGCATCAGAAGATGTTTCAGTAAGAAGCTTCTCCGCTTCACGTGTTTGTGTCTTGATGGATTTGAGCTCCGTCCACAGAATCAACTTCAAAGCTGATGTTTAGTTCACAGCTTGTTTCTGCTGAAACCAAGCGGACAAAACAAATCAGTTATTTTAGGTTAAAGCGTTTTCTTTTCTTTCTCCAACAGGAGACGACGAGTCAGAGTCCGGCCCGATGAGTCCCTGGGAGTCTGGGAGGGAAACCCTGCAGCAGCGAGGCCTGAAGGTCTGCACGTCGTGAAACGGAGTTTCACGACGTTATGAAACTCCGTCACCGCGGTTTCTGAAGACGAAGCAAGAAGAAGTGACCGACTTCTGGATTCACAAGTTTATCTTTTTAAAGAATCACTGATTGACGTGAATTTGTTTTTACTGATCCTCGACTGAAAGCTTTTTTTACACGGCAGCGCCGGATCTGTTCCTTTTTATATGTTTTCTTGATATTTTGCGCTTCCAGAGCTGTGACTGAAGATGATGATGAAGACGTGTGCTTTTAGTGCCCGTTTATTTTGAATTGTTCAACAAAATGTAAAGTTTCAAAATAAGATACACGCTTGTCTTGAAATCCTTTTGTTCGCTCAGTTAAAGCCTTCATTCCAAACATTCATAAACAACCAACCATGGAAGTTCTGTCTTATTTTAAACCTGGATAAAGACACACAGCGGGTACGTTAACTCTGAATTGTGGGCGTCACATTGTGCCTTTAAGTTTGAAACTGATATTAAAATGCATATTTTTGCTACATTCATGTTTTTCTTTGTGTTTGTAAAAAACAACCATAAAGACTCACAATCACCACAAAAAGACTCAAAACACACACAGATACTCAAACAGCCACGAAGACCTGATCACATAGACCTAACCATAAAGATCCAACTACAAAGAGACTCAACACAACTACAAAGACCTGACCACAAAGAGACGAAGACATAAACACAAACACAAAGAGACACAAAACAACCACAAGAAGTCTCAACACAAACAACGTTTTATATAGAAAATGATCTACACCGTTTGTTTATTATGTTATTTGTATTTTTCGGTCATGAAACAAAAGGTGAGTTAGTGTTGAAACTGTACTTACAGCTCAGTGATAGTGATGACAAGTGGGATTTTCCACAGCTGGCGCGTCTCCACATCACTCGGTAACTCTTAATCTAACTCGTACCTGGAAAAGACGAGTCTGAAACAGAAACGGTGAGAGGACGAAACTTGGCCGCTGCTCGCTGTATTTTAATCTTATTCTGGATAATCTGTTTGATCCTCCGATACACGCAGGTCCAGTCTCCCTGCTGCCAGAAATAAAGCAGATCAACAGAAAAAGGCTGCCACTCTGGAAACTGAAGGTTTACTGCCAACAACCCAGAGGAATGCTGGGAGACGATGTATACAGCCGGTGTTTCAGTCAGCCGATTCTACACCGCGATGGAGTCTGAGAACGTTCTGCTTCATGGATCGAAAGGTCACACACTGTGCCCACAAGTAAACTACAAGTCCCACAGGCTTGATTATGAATCCCACTACATTGTTTGGCAGACCGGCCGAGAGTAGCTGTTTGAGGAAGAGACGGTTGGCTACGGTTACCCATTAACCCTGATTAGGTAGGAGAGCCTGTTGCTGAGGATGTGGGACCTGAACAAATAAGTTTACCAGTCCGTCTGCGAGCACGGACGTTCTGGCCAATCCTAGCGGTTGAATGCCACACAGCGCGGGTTTAGACAAGAAAAGCAGTGGGATTCATAGTAACGCGTCCCAAAAGGGACATTACTGTAAAAATCTGCCAATTTTTTTATCAAGATGGTGAACGTGGTAAACAATGAACTTGGTGAACATTGTTGTTGTGGACCAGTTGAAACTTTATTCGCTCAAATAGACAAATAAAAAGAGACCAAGCGGCAACCTCCGGTTCTGAAAAGTGAATTCAAAGCATGTCTTAAAGCTGCATTCTCGCTAGTGTCCACCAGGGGGCGACTCCTCTGGTTGTATAGAAGTCTATGAGAAAATGACTCTACTTCTCTCTTGATTTATTACCTCAGTAAACATTGTAAACATGAGTTTATGGTCTCAATCTCTAGTTTCAAGTCTTCTTCAATACAGCATGATGTTCATTTAGTACATTATGGTCCATTTAGAGTCAAACAGACCATAAAGCAGGGGATGCTTTAGGGCGGGGCTCAACCAGAGACGTCTACGGCGTCTCTACTTAACTTCTTTACTGAAGTTAAGGATATAAATACCTTCTCCACCTTCCTTCAACAGGACGATGGGAACTTTACTTTGTGAATCAATAAAAGTGATTTTTCCATTTGTGGAGGCTGATGAAAAGCTCAACTCTGATTTAACCTGAGGAGCCGCTGACAGTCTTATCTGATTAACACACTGCGACATTGTTTCTCAGTTAAGCTGCTGATGCTCACTCTGATTTTAGGAGTTACAGGGTTGAGAAGTTCAAACTGTCCATAATGAACAGATTTATGTTCTAGTTGAAAGTGCATTTAATTGAACTTAAAGTATCTAGTGTCCATCTTTCTGTGGGTTTGTTCGTCACGTTCCTTGTTTATCCAATCGAATCCACGTGTTTAATGCCCAGGACCAAAAGACGTGCAGTGTCGAATATCGTGCAATTTGGGTAAATGGTGGCGCTAAAAACAACAAACTTCACAAGCCACGCCTATTTTACAGATTTTCCGCCATTTTAAATGATGTCCAAATATGTTCTTCTGTTCTATTTCTGTGCTTATTTTGTCTCTTGGAGGCTGTTATGCATATCTTTATTGTCATTTTGGGTGTCTTTGTGGTTGTTTGGCAACTCTTCTTGGTCGTTCAACATGTCTTTGTGGTCTATTAGTGGTTGTTTGTGTCTTTGTAGTCATTTTATGTCTGTGTGGTTGTTTCGTATTTCTTTGATGTCTTTTTGTGTCTCTTGGAGGCTGTTTTCAGATCTTTAACGTTGTTTTAAATCTCTTTGTGGTTGTTCTAAATCTCTTTGAAGTTGTTTGTCTCTCTTTATGGTCATTTTGCGTCTCTGAGGTTGTTATGCGTCTCTCTGTTATGCATCTCTGTGTGTCTCTTGGAGGTTATTTTGTAAATATTTATTGTTTTAAAAATCTCTTTGTGGTCGTTGTGTATCTCTTTGTGGTCGTTGTGTATCTC